GTGAATATAAAGAGGCGGAGGAAACCGATGAAACGGGGGGTAGAGTGGGCCGGACAGAGAGGTGGAGGATGAAACATTAAGTGCGATATTACCGAGAAATATCGCACGAGGGAGTGTCCCATACCACTTCAGCTAGCGGTCATGTGAAGTAACGGATCGAGACAAACAGTTACAACTCGCGTAAGCTCACCACTGGCAGTGTTCCCATTGACTGAGCCATTGTGCATTCACCATGTAGCAATGTCGGGCATTCGCGGTGAAGTCTGATCGAGCTCAGAACCAAGTGATATGGCAGGTTGCGAGAGGGTTTGAGGTTGAGAACGTCGTTGCAGGACGTTCGAAAAGGCCTGGCAATCTTACACCTATGCAATACTGGTAGAAACGCCAGCCAAACGCTACGGAGACAAGTGTTCCAAACCAAATCGCTACTAGAGGCAAGCGCCTCTCAAACAAGCAATCAAACAAGCAACACGTACAATTGTGTCTACTCAAGTCAAGGTCTCGCGATGACTACTCGAATCGTCTTCCTCGCTACTCCTCAAATCTTTACAAAGTGTTGCTCTAAATCGCGAAGTTTACGGGACACCACTTTGTCTCGACCAATTACAAACCAGCGTATCTTCCTACGAGTGGTTCTAAGCCTGGTTTCTAAGCTTCTCAAATCTATCGGACGACTCTACGGACTAGTTCACTAGTGGTCTCATCGCTGCCGTCAACGCTTGAAGCCCACTCACCTCTGACACACTAGCGGTGGCCGCGCTAAGTATCGCCCGCGCGCCCACTCGCGGGCTAACTGCAACTCGTTACCGGTGGTGCTAACCGCTAAGGGGCGATTTGCACCCGAGCAACTTGCAGATCAGATTGAACCTCTTATCTTATCTGAGAAACTCTCAGATCAGATAACCCAATCTAATCTGCGCATACCCCGGGTAGCTTTCAGATAAGCGAAACTGCGCCGTTTTTCAGATTCAAAACCGTAAGCACAAGAGGTATTGAACAAAGGTACCGTAAGCACAGATCAGATTGGAAACCAGGTGATGCCTCCACTCTCGCAATTCGACGATACCGGTAGAAGTGTCGAATGTACTGGTGTACGCACGATGTACACAAGTTGTACTAAGCATGTACACAACTTTGCCTTGGCCGAGTATGAAAATGTACTCCAAACTGGTCCGGACCCCCGGCCTATCCTTTTAGGTCTACAGGCAAAGACGTCTCGCCCACGTCTCGTCGATTTGCTTTCTCAGATGCGACTTGAATGAAGTTGTGTGGCTTAGAAAAGTAGCTACCCGGAAAAGATTCACTACCTGGAAACTAGATCGGGATTGTGAAAAAGCGGTGAACGGAAAGTCGAGGAGATTTGCGAAGGATTCAGGTTTTAAGGGTTTTAACGAAGAGTCGAGCAAGGGTCTGACTGAAGACTTATGTTTTCGACATGCATGAGCGGGTCTTGCTTCGTCATGGCAGAAAGTTCGTCCGTTTCTGAAGGCTTTACGACGTTCTTCACTTACCGTGTATATTTTGTATCTTTGTACAGATTGAATGCTTCCGGTTTGGGTTTAGTGACGTTATTTTGCTCTTGAATGCATGACGGCCGCTTGTTTCTGGTTTGTTGTGACTTCGTCATTTGTATCATGCAGATTAGACTTCGTTTCGGCTATACTTTGAAGTACAGCCCGTCGTTTTGTTTCTTACGAAGTGCTCGAAGAGCACTTGTGTGTCCTTTGAAAGTATGTACAGGTTGACAATAAGGTGACACTTGGAGACGTCACGAAGACTCGAACCAAGGCGGACAACGGGAGACGAGCTGAAGGAGCGCCAGGTTGCGAGACCGGGACTCACCGAAGTTTCATCACGCGCTTTCGAAGCGAAGACCTTAGCAATACAGGATTGAAATAGGGAAGACAGTAACGCTAGACTTAGAGGAACTTAGCAGACTGTAAATAACGCTTAGCATAATACATTAGAAGCAGCGAACACCAAGACTTGACCCTCATTCTCAAGTTTCCATTGTACAGTCACTCGAACACGAGCGCTTGGAATTGAGTCTCATTCTCGATTCATTCAAGGATTGGGTCTTACTTTTCTGCAAGCCGTCGCTTCTCCTTCATTCTCTGCACATGAGCCGTTTTCTTGTCTGCCTTTATTCCGCATCATAGCGCTACTCTAGCTCCGAAGCCTCTTTTTGTGGGGGGCTTCGTTTTGAATCGACAGTTGAATCTGCGGCGCAATCTGGCCTCATATGCGAACGCCACGCAAATTGGTGCCGTAAATCTGCTCATATTTGCGAATGCTCCAACTTTCAGATTCACCAATCTGCGCTTATGTCCGAATGAATTTCAATTTCGTTATCTAGAAAGTTGGCCTTATCTGCGTGGGTGCGAATCGCCCCTAAGTGGCGGTCGCGGGACACTACACGGGGCAACTTTGTAATTAGAAGGTGTATTGAAATCCAAGGGGAGGTCCATTAGAATTGAAGGGGTGTTTTAGGCGCCTCTAGCTGACGAGCTCTATTCATTGGTTTAATATGAATAAAACTTCATTTCGTTTCAACAAGGGGTGTTTTAAAACTTGAGTTGCCACCTCGTGCAAAGGCCCTAAATTGATTACTGTGTGTGCTAGCAGCCTAATTGAGTATTTAACACTAGGACCGTAACCGTGACCATATGGTAACGCGTGACCATATGGTCACGCTTAAATATTGACTGGGTAAAACCCTGTGGGTTTATACAAAACCCAAACCCTTGGATTGTGCCCGGTCAACATTGACCTTGAGGTATCCCCTAACCATACCCAGGAACGACTTTGGTCAAATGGAACCAGCTGACGTCATTCTAACATGGGTTTCATAGGGGTTTTTTGGCCAAAAATCGGTCCCCAGCCTGACGTCTCCTGTTTGACCATTGTTAGCAACTTGGGCTGATGACGTCAGAGCGTTTTTTGGAGGGTTCAAGTTTCAGGGACTTGAACATGACCCAATAAGGGCCCCTGACAAGGGTTGAAAAGTTTCCGTGTAGGTTTGTTATGAAAACCACCCCTTTTCCTAAGCGTTACCATATGGTCACGCTTATTTCCCCTCATATTAGGGTTTTGGGACCTCTTATTGAAATGTGCTGGCAGCAAGCACTTGGCCTTGCAGTTCAATCGGCCTATCACACTTACTTTTTCAACCATAACCCCTAGAAGCACCAGGAGTAATGTGAGCACTTAATATCCAGTATCTTCATAGGGTTTTTGCGTAACTTCTGAAAAAGATAAGCGTTACCATATGGTCACACTTAGCTACGGTCCTAGTACCGAACTGACATTTGATTGAGCTTAGTAGGTTCCCCAACATGGGAAGACGCGCCTGCTCAATAGAAAGACATGAGTCTGCGTAAACGACAGCATGTCGTCTGCAAGCCATGTGAATGCCTCTTCTGCGTACAGATGTGCCCTGATTTTGTTGCTCTCAGCTCTATCTCCTGTCCAATATGTAGTCGGCGAGGCGCCTCTGGCCATAGCAGATTCTATCAGCTTAGAGGGAACCACTTCCCAGCCGGTCTTGGAGGCTCCCATTCCTGTTGACGAGCCGTTTCGTTGCTTCCCCAGAAAGAATGAGGATTGTTATTTTAACAAGTACTCGTCACGTGTTTGGCCTGATGTTCGACAAAACCTGAGCGCCCTGACCAAGCGGTGGCAGAGGGTTGCGGCGGAGCAGCCTCTTTACCCTGAGGGGAGATATCATGGCTGGGGCATTGCAATCTTATGCGGGCCCAGGGGAATGAATAATCTGCCAGTTGTACTGAAAGTGCTCCGTGATCTGGGCTGCAAGCTTCCTGTGGAAGTCTGGCACTTTTCGTCTGAGAATTTGCCCTTTGAGCATGCAACTTGGATATCGCGCCATCAGAATGTGATGCTAAAAAACTTGCACGATTATGCTAAGGACATTGAGGTGGTTGAAACGAACGTGGGCCCGCGCATGTTTGGCGTCAAGCCTTTAGTTCTCCTGCACAGCTCCTTTGAGGAGGTGCTACTGATCGATGATGACAATCTTCCTGTCCGGAACCCAGCGTACCTGTTCGAGGATCAACAGTATAGAGAGTCTGGGGCCACCTTCTGGCCTGACTACTGGCGAACAAGTACATTGAACCCTATTTGGGAGTTGGTGGGCGCTGAGCCCCATGGTTACGCGCAAGAGAGTGGGCAGCTTTTGATCAACAAACGGAAGGGCTGGGTCGCGCTGGCAGTGGTAAGTGGTCCCACCAATTGCCCACCTTCAAAAGATTGGAAGGTTCCACATTTCAGATCTATCTCTTACTCAACAGCCCCCTGATTGCATGCCGTCAATCGACTCTTCCAATTCCGTTTGTTAAGCTCTCCTTTATTCAGGTGAAGAATCTCTTCATCAAACCATCTGGGTACAGCCTTCTACATGTCATCTCATGAGCACTTACATTCACCAGATTATGCTGATCTGATGTTGACGAACACATGTGAGCTTGCACTGAGGTTGCTTTGGTTTCCTCTTTCCTTGTAGGCGTTGCTATTCAATCAGGCGCCATATAGATTGGTGAGGACCACATAACTTCCCTTCGCTTTTCACAGTGCTATAAAGCACGGTAGCAGGTATTGGCTGGTGTCAATCTACTGGTTTGCAAGCTGGAGTCAAGCTGGCAGCTTGCTCTTGGATACCGCTTTGTCGATCTTTACGGTTTGCTTTGATGGAGAATCAATGCAAAGACGACTTTACGTTTCTCTGGTTAAAAGGTTGAGAGTTTGTTGAGTCCCAGACCTAGTGTGAAAGCATAAGGCTTAGCCTTAGGCTTCTGGTCCCTATTCTGAGTGATCAGCCTGGGTCTGTTCGATTTGATTCCACGAGCCTCGCCAGGTGGTACTAGCTAAGAAAGTTGTCAAATCTTGCCATCGGATTTGCTACAATGCGGAAGCATCTACAAGTGTAGGAGAATTGTTGGATACCTCGACCCCATTTACTGCTCTGAATCACCATGACATTTGAAGGATCACAGAAAGGAACGAGAAAGGCTGATCGTTTCCTCAGTGGTTGGGAGTCTTCAAGTTCCCTCCTTGCAGCTCTTGCATTAACAAAGCACCAAATTCCTGAAGATCTCCAAAGTTGTTTCTCTCAGTGATGAGCTTCTCTTCTTGCCCGCAGTGTTGATACCCCAAAGAGTTACTGTCTGTAGTGCTGCCGTCAGTGTGGTACTTGCAGTGATCACATGTTAACCGACATGCCATACGTGCTTTTTTGGTGGTCAAATGCTGGTCGATTTACCTTCTCTAGGCTCTTAATCAATCTTGAATTGAAGGTTCTAACAATTCTTATGCCTTTTGAGTTCTGGGGTGTCTTTGGCCGCCATCGCAAATGCTGAGCAGCGACAGATAAACAACTCCGAGTAAAATGCGTGCACGCCTCTACTTGTTGACGATTGAAACAGAGCTCGATTGACTTGCCTTGCAGAGCAGATCCAAACGCTAAACTCATTATTGAGAGGTAGTATCTCTCGTCTCCAAGAGCTCGTATGGGATGTTCAAATTGTAAATGTGATGTCAAGTGCTACAACCCATGTCATCCCTGCTCCTTCAGACCGCTTGAAAATCTCGACTTGTATCCGAAGACTTCAAACTTTTTTTGGGCCCAAACCAATTTTAAATCCACAGTGCGCAACACCACACACGTTCTTTACAGTCAAGCTAGATTTTTCATGTTGCTATGCAAGAACGGAAATGATGAACTCCCCGCACGCCGCTCGTAAATCTCCGAGTCTCTAATCAGAAGCTGCGAGAATCTCGATCCATTTCTCCTGCAGCTCCTCAATGACGACAAGGATACTTATCGCTTTGCTTGGATGGCCGTGAAGCAGCCATTCTCGTTTGTGCGCCAGCCAGTTGGAACGACAGGCATGATCAACTCTAAAGACGAGCTCTGCGGAACAACAATGCTGCAGTTTGATCTGGACGGCCGTGAGATTTTTTTGCACCATAATATGCTCAGATCGGGCCCGTTGGAACGGGCCGGCTCAAACTGGGCAAAGGCGAAGGTCCCCATAGCGGGGCAGATGGAGCACTTTGTACCCGTCCCTGGGAGCGCGTTGGTGCTTCCGGATGAGACAACCATTAATTGCATGGATATAAATGGGCGGTACGACGTCATATTGCACCCGTTCAAGGAGTTTGAGGAGAAGTATTTCGACTCCCATAGAAAAATGGAAGATCTGTGGCTCCTAACGAACTCGACGGAGCGTTTCAAAATTCCAGTGCCGGAGGACTCGTTACTTTCAACGGCCAAAGGAGTAAGCCTACATGGCACAATTTGGCATAATCTCAGCTTTCCAGCGCCAGATGAGACCAAATTGACAATTCGATTGGAAATTGTTGTCAAGGAGGAGGGCCAGGATGGGGTGGACGATCCTTCCTGTGAGTCGAAGCTTTGGGTTGACCAGGTGCTGCTACCTTTGGGACGCTGCCCTTCTTTCGGGGCAGTGTCCGCTGGAAAAACGTTTGCCATGCACAACAAGTATTACCACAAACTCTTGGCCAAGAATACGGGGCAAGGAAAGTGCGCGCAGGTTTTTGAGCTAGTTGCGCAACCATTCACGGGCGTGATCACTAAGAAGTCTGTAAAAGTGCGACTGTGCGGTCAAGACCGACGTGTTCATGCTGTGCGGTGTCTCAACACCAGCGTGAAGTTGGAAATGCCCCGTTGTAGGGGAAAACCTATAACAGAGGAGTTTTTGTAATGCGGCAGCCAATGAGCCCACGCGAATAGCTAAAGTGGTTGATGGGGGCTGAAATAAGCGGACACTGTTGGTATTCAGATCATCGAGTACCGGGCGCTTCTGTGACCGTTCTGACAATTCGAGTATGTTATGCAACCACTGGCAATCAAGGCCAGATGGTCCATGACAGCGGTGTCTTTGGAAGCTACAGTCATTTGTTGGGTGTACTTGTGGCGCTCAGGCATATGACGGTTCCAAGACATACCATGGGAATACATGGATTGCATGCATGAAGAGCGTGACTCTTGCAGGATTTTTAGGATATTGAATCTAAGCAAAAGGTGATTGATCAGCTATGATGGGGCTGCTGCAAGACCATTGAGAGTCCAGACAGGTCACGCAATAGGGACGTTACGGAGTGCCGTGACCTACTTTTGAACCTTTTAACACGAAGATCGAAGACAAGACCGAAAATAATCAGTTGAATAGCTAGATCCAGAGGAGATTCGGATAGTAATCAAGTCTGGTGTGCTTTTCTTTTTAACGTAGAAGCAGCTGACCGTGGTTTGATAGAGTAACAACAACTATAGATCGTTGAACATATGGAGTGATCCTGACCTAGAAAAGGTCCGGCATCCAAACATTGAGCCCATAACTTGCATCGAGGTATTGAAAGATGCCAGTTTGACGTTGCCCGACCTTCTTGTGTGGTTGGTGTGACTTGTAGGTGAAGCGGGTGGGTTCTTGGTTGGTATTAGAGGTAGTTCTCTAGCTTTCAGCTAAGAAAAAGGTCATAATGGCCTCGACTTAATAAGGAAGCATGGGTCTCGTTACTAGTGCCTACTAGCTTGGGTCCAATTGAAGAAAGGGGTTGGGTGGTCTAGCGGCCGGGCCAGTTTACCGTCTGGATGACGCTACATGTGCCTACGTACCCCTCGGAGTTGGTAGCTAATTTGTAACGAAATAGATGGGCGCTTTCAAAAGGGTCCCTAACTTGAAGCCTTGGGTCCCAAAAGGCCAAAACGATCATTTCAAATCATGCATGTTGAATAAAATCATTGAGGTGGTCACTGCGAGCTTGCTGCACTTAATGCTACTGCCTTATTCAAGTTACCAATTATGATGCTTGGTGCCTTCGCTTGGGAGCTTATTGCTAAAAATGGCCATGCATGAAAGACTCACTCGACACTGAGAGGATTCCGACTATATGTTCATGGTAGGGGTATAGCATGTGCAGAAGGTGTTTCGACAGTCTAGCAAGCACGTATTCCGTGCGTAGTTCGGCAGCAAGGCCAAGTCGAGGTGTACTAGCATGCGCGGAAGTCGGCTTATTTGTGTCATTACAATATAGGCTTGGCATAAGTTCGATTGGGCTTGGTAAGTTTGTTGCGCAACATGTGGATCAAAAGAGCGTTATTTTATGATTATGCATGGTGTTGGTTAAATGGAATTCATAGTCACTCATCATTTAGTAGGGTAGCTGGGATGGCCAGCTTGTGAAAAGCAAGGATGAGGTTGTGACGCAAATGTACAACTTAAGATTGGAAGTGCGTGCTAACATTCAAGGCAACATTCGCAACATGGGCCCGCACCAGGACAAGTTGTACGGTCCCAGGGGTCGAAGAGCGTTGACGATTACAACGTGGAGTTTAATCAGGCCATGGTTACTCCATATGAGGAAATTATTGATGAGGCTGTCAAGATCGAAAGGTATCGGTCTGGACTTCAGTCTGGCTTAGGGAGATGTGTCGCACGTCTTTGGCTGGCCAGCGTTGGGCTATGCTCAATGCATTGGGTGAGTATGCGACTTTGACATGGCCTACAGTAGAGGCACGCGTGGCCAAGCGCAAGTCTTCTCAGCCTGCCAAGTCGGTGGCTGGAAAGCGCAAGGCATCTGGTGGAGGTGGTTCTAGTTTTGGACGTTCAAATAAACGCGAATTCTGCCAGGCAGTGTTACTGAACGTCTTAGGCATTTGCATTCTGCCATTTGTAGATAGCCCTACTTCTACGGCGTTTGGGCTGCTTGTATGTTAGTACGTGATAGCATGCCAATTGCATTGCCATTGTTAAAAAAAAATCCTGTTGTGCTGAGGGTTCCAAAAGGTGGGTTGGTTTGTCAGTTGCTGTCAGATAACACGTGGGCTGTTGTTCGAAGTCCTGACAAGTTGCGAGTCTTGTATCTTGCTTTCGTCGCTGACAAAGTGTCTGCTCAGGCAGGTTTGTTGACAAGGAAAGATTTTCTCAGCTTCACGAAAGGGTTCAGTAAGTTGCCCCGTATGATGTTTTACGGCCGGGCAACTGCGGCTAAAGCCAACATCCTGTTTCACTCTGAGCGTCACTGAACTTCGTCTCTGCCAAATTTGCTAAGCAGACAGGCATTACGGTAAGACCTACCGTACTGCTCAGAAAGTTCGTCTGGCAGATGACGTTGTTGGCGAGGTCGTGTGTGAAGCGATTGTATATGTTCAGTTAGGAGCGTTTCACAAGCCTGTGAGGTGCTACGTCATGATTCTGTTGTTTGAGGTTGATCTTATCTTTGGGTGATGAGTTCATGATCAGGTATAATTGTATTCTGCATTATGGAAAAAGTTGCATTATGATTCAGAAAGGGAAAAGACACTTGACTGTACATACGTAGTCCTGGTCTTCCTCGTTCGCGTTCTGACGATGATGAGATGTTTAATCCCGATGTGTTGTCACATGCGCAGTTGAAGCGGCTGGTCAAGCGAGGAGCGTGCGTGTACTTGGCGTCGGTGAAGCCAATTGACCCTGACGCTGCCTCGTGCGCTACCGCTACTGTAGCAGGCTCTCTGGCTGTGGGCAGAGATCAGAATTTGATGATACCCAGATGTAAGATCAAGGGAAGTGAAATACTGTGAACCGCTCACAGCATCCAACAGATCGTCAATGCGAGGAATCGTACAACGGTTCTTCACAGTTATCGAGTTTAAAGCTCGATAATCAACACACATACGAAGACCACGATCGGACCGTTAAGCTTAGGAACAAACAACACAGGAGAACCATACGGAGAAGTGTCCAGAATTCCAGTCTTCAGAAACTCGGTGACCCGCTTTTCCATTTCACGATATTCCAACGGAGATAAGCGGTACATCTGCCGGAACGTAGGAGGGTGACCTGGCTCGGTAGGAGTACTGTGACCTTCTGCACGTTCATGAGGCAGACCAACCGGAAGAGGATCCTGAAAGACTTCAGAAAACTCATTCAACAAATCAGAAACCTAGTTCTTCTCACTTGAGACTGGATTGCTCGGTTGAACAAGTTGGATGGTTGGCTCACACAGTGTAGTGGCATGATCTAGGTTGGAAGATCGTCCGAAAACAGCTTTTCGTACGCCTTTTGGACACTTTCGGTTTAAGGTATTGATTGAGGGTCAGACGAATGCTCCGGCGACGTTTCAGACTGTAATGAACTCTATATCTGAAGAAGTTCGTCGTTGTGTATTTGGACAACATTCTGATATTTTCCGAGTTTGAGGAAGAACATCAAAGCGCATGTGCGTCTTGTTCAAGGATGTCCTACGTCGCAAATAGTTTTACGTGACAACGGCTAAGTCCGGCTTCGCTCAAACTGAGATTCCGTATTTGGGGCATATTGTAAATGCGCAGAGGCATTCGTCCCGATCCCAAGAAAGTCGGTGCAGTACAGTCTTGGCCAAGAACGTGCCCAAGAACGTGCATGATGTTCGTCCCTTTCCGGGGCTGTGTAACTACTTTTGCAAGATCACAGATCACTACTCTTCTATAGCAGTGCCTCTGACGAACTTGACGAAAAAGTCTGTTGGCTGGGATTGGACTGGACGGTGTCAGGATGCTTTTGAGAAGCTTAAACGTAGTTTGGCTGAAGCTCCGTTGCTTAGGACTCCTGATGAGAAGAAGCCCTATGAAGTCATTACGGATGCTCTTGACTATGGTCTTGGCGCTGTGTCGTTGCAAGAGGGTTATCGCATTCCATTTGTGTTGCGTAAGTTGCGTAAGTTAAACTCGGCATACTAGCATAATTATAAAGTCGCAGAGAAGGAGATGTTGGCTGTTGTTCACGCTTTGCGAGTGTGGCGGTGCTATCTGGAAGGAGTCTAGTTAACTGTATTCACAGACCACGTGTCCAATACATAGGTTTCAGACGCAACCTAATTTGTCACGGCGACAAGCACGTTGGTCAGAATCCTTTCAGCGCTTTGGGGTGTTTAAGTGGGAATACCTAAAGACGAACGTAATATAGATGATGTGTTAAGCAGGGGGGATGCGATTGCCAGTCAGCTACAGAGCGTTGACTCTGATAAGGCTCAGCCTTTCGGTGCAGTATTCGCTGCTGCTGGTGTAGCGACACCAAACCGAGGAATGTTCCAGAACAGAAGTGTGTCCGGCCAAACTGTTTTTGTTCGTGGTGGCCAAAGTGTTTTCAGTCCGACTTTTGACTTAAGTCCTTCCTCATGCTCAAGCCCTTTATTGAAGGCAGTCGGAAGTTGTCTGAGAAAGTTCAGCGAGATGCAAAATGGGGGGACTCAAACCAACTGAGTACCACCTGAGAAGGTTTTGTCTTAAAAAGGAAATCCCAAATAGTTGTCCCTCATGACGTTGAGCTCCGTAGAAAGATTATCTCTGAGTATCACGATACTTACTACGCGGGACACTATGGGTGCTCAAAACCCGGACAGGCAGTTGGTCGTTTGTTTTGGTGGCCTTCTTTGACAAAGCCTGGATGTTACCAAGTATATCTTCTGCTGTGTTTTGTGCCAAAGAGGGAAGGCCCGGCGCGACAGGCCGTTTGGTGCATTCCCTAAAAAGCCTCTTCCCGTTCCTGAATTATTTTTTGGCAGATTGCACGTTTGACGTTATTGTCAGATTGCCTAAGCCGGCTCATGGGAACGACAGTATATGTGTCTTTGTTGATAAGCTGACAAAAATGGTGCACTTTGTAGCTTGTTGTGAAGACTTACCTGCAAGGGATTTTGCGGAGCTCTACATTGATCAGGTCTGGCGTCTCATAGCCTGAGCAACGAGTTTATCACAGATCGTGATTCACGATTCACGAGTGCGTTTTGGAAATGGGTGACGGTGCTTATTGGTACTAGGCACGTTATGTCCTCGTCTTTCCAGCCGCAGACTGATGGTCAGATAGAACGTGTGAATCAAACGCTGGAAACGTATCTACGTCATTTTGTCTCTGCGCAGTTGAATGACTGGGACACTTTGTTGTCACGAGCGGAGTTTGCCCACAACTCAGCTATTCACTCTTCTGTAGGTCAGACACCGTTTTCTTATCAATCACGGCTTTGACCCAAGGACTCCACCGGCATGACCCGTCCCTGGCAAATTTGGTAGTGTCGCTTTTCGAGAGGCACGCCGTCCGATGTCCGATTTGACGGTCACATTTTGGCTTCGGCCGAACTAACACCTTGGCGGAAAAACCCTCCAATGTCATGAACCACTTTTTCGAGCAGCCCAATACAGCGGTTTCAAGATAATGGAGGCCGCTTAGTTAAAAAGCCCTCCAGGACGATTGCGAACGCCTTGATGAAAAGTTATGCAGATTGCTGCCAACTTCAAAACACTTATAGACAATGAATCATAGCAATTTACAGCACTCAAAAAGATGAAGAGACCTGCAAGCAATAGTAGGCTCCCTACAGCAATTTACAGCACTCAAAAGATGAAGAGACCTGCAAGCAATAGTAGGCTCCCTACAGTGATGAGCAACCATTGAGTCCTTTTGCGAAGCGCCATGACTGGTCACTGTCCGTCTTACAGAATCTGCGGTACGACGTCGCGATTCACTCTATAAATTTGAGACTGCCTTTGCGAGTCGGTCGACGTCATCAGATTTTGTCGTACGACTCCAAATTCGTACGGCGCGCGGACCGGCGACAGTGACTCGAGTCGGATCGACTACGGTATATAAGGATCGGAATTGAACAAGTCGCTGGACGCGACTTGACCCAAATTGTAATCTGCACACGTGGGTGGGCCTAGATGACTACCTCTTCAGTGAGGCTGGACTGGTCGTGGGGTGAAAAGTGGGACTCGGATGATATGCACCCTGCATCTATTGCTTTCGGTGAGCGTTGGCAGTCTGCTCTCACTTTTGCTCGCAAAAGTTTGATTGCAGCTCAAAAGAAAGCCTATGCAAACCAGCGTCGTACAGAGAAACATTTCTCTGTGGGGGATAAGGTTCTTCTGGGTACGAAGTATCTTAACATTGAGCATGGCGAGAGATCTAGTAAGCTTCTCCCTAAATGGATTGGTCCAGTCGAGAAGGTTGTGGGTCCCGTCGCTTTTAAGGTGAAGAAGAATCCAGCTTGGCGCGTTCATCATGTATTTCACGTATCTCTGCTTGAGCCTTTAACAGGTCAGACGGCCGGGTACAACCCCCACCACCGCCAATCGAGTTGGAAGGTGTTCTGGAATAGGATGTTGATTCGATATTGGGTCATCGATTCCGAGAGCGACATCGCCCTCGTGCCTCCTATCTCGTGTCCTGGAAGGATTATGGTCCAGAATATAACTCGTAGTGGCGGATTATTGGAGACGGCTAGAAGAACAAAGGGAAAGGCTTGAGGCGTCCTTATTGCTTAGTATCTGGTCGCGGAGCTAGACAGATAGTTTATGTGCTCCCCACGGCATCGTGAAGAGGAGCTAGATTGTCTCTTCTCGTATTGTAAGTAGTATATGTAAAGTAAGTAGTGTTGTCTCTTCGTGATCAATAATGTCTCGTAAGTTTTCCTATCCTCAGGGGATGTAAAATAAGCCGAGGAGTGGTAACGAGGCATTGTGACAGATGGGCTAGCTATGGTTACGTCTAACCGCACATCGTCACAAGTAAGTTTACCTTCGGGTTCGCGCGTATGCCAGGTTGCGGCATATGAGCACAGTATTGATGTGACGTAGTTAATGCAAGCTTCATTAAATACGCCACTAAATAGTTTGTAGAGTGCAAGATACAGATGCTTAGTCACTGATGTGACGCTTACGGACAGCATGATCTTGCAAGATCATGGCATGACCAGGATTGCTTGGCATGGTGCATGTCACTCTACTATGTGGTCAGAGTATGCAGTCCCACAAGTGCACAGCTGTCCTAGACATGGTTGAATGCGGCTACGAGACGCCTGCGGGCACTCCTCGAAGCAGCCTTTCCACGATTGAAGACTCGACTGAGTACTGACGGGAACAAGACAAGAAACCTTGCGGGGATCATTCGAAGTGCGAATTCCCAACTAGCAGGCATAACTGTCTTAAGCAGAAAGACAACATTTTTACAGAGCAAGCGCCTTCGTCCAAGAATGCCTGCAACCATGGTTTCCGCTTATGCTGCCGTTAGTGTGTTGTAGTTATCCTCCCAGCGCTTCGCTTAAGCTGGCCAACCGTCACATGGGCGAGCTGTGGTAATGGGCATGGAGCGGGACGACTCCGAGGCGGGTGAAAAGCACGACCTCATGACCGTTTTCAAGACGCGGAGCAACTACAACTATTGCGCCAGGGAGCACTTGACGGCATGCTCCTTCAAGAGGGGGGAGCTGTCCGGAGCGAAGGAGATCCGGGGTGTGTTCGAGACCAAGGCTAGCTTCAATCTGGCGAGGGTCAATGGCGTTGCGGCCTTGACTGTGATGAAGGCTTTGGGCGACACTTTGAAAGGCATGGCACATTTCTTTGATCTCCTCTACTGTCATGCCCATGTTTTTTGTAATTTTCATGCCCTTATCCATGCTCTTTACAGGTTGAGACACTGGGTTGAAAGGCATGTGAGAAGTTGTCAGCTTTGAGCATGATGTTCTTAGGCAATATCTTCTACTATGTCTAGCTATCTGCAAGGGTTTCCCACAAAGCCAGCTGCCTCAGACTTACGCAAGAGGCGTGATCAGAATGGTGTCATGTTGTCCTTGAACTAAAGTGCTCTCCGGTTTTCCCGAGTGGTCTTGCAGATGGTCAGGGGCACACCAACGGCAACGGGGTGCCCTTCTCCAAGGACCTGTTCGAGCAGATATGCCGGCAGGTATGGAAGAAAGACGACAGCTCGCTGACGGCGGAGCAACTCGTGTGATTTTGCCTCGTGTTAAGACATATTTCTTTTATTCTGTTTTGCAGGGTCCGTGTGGCTGAGTGGAAAAAACACCTTTGAAGAGATAGATTACAAGCGGATGTAGCGGCTTTCGAGCCACCCTCATGCATTACGAATTGCGGCGTGTGGGCTAGAACCAATTTTAAACGAGGTTTTCATTGCTGGTGGAGTCGACTTTCCTTTAACATGGTGCATCGATGATTCTTCCTAAATCACAAGCTTCGCATTGACATGCTTTGTGACATCCTATGCTAGGTCGACTACTTCCTCGACAACAAATCCTTCGACCGCAACGATTCCAAAACGGGGACGAGATAGATGTGAACATGCTGGTGGGGGTCCTCCGAGTCGAGCAGGTCGCAAGAGCGACGGCCGACAAGCTGCCCATGAAGTTGAAGCTGGTCGGTCCGGACCCGGAGTTCGACCTCGCGCACCCGACGGAGGCATATTTTCAGGATGGGATGGCCTGCATCAGCACGAAGGGCCGTATCACAACCGGTTCGGTCCCTAGTTAATCCAACTCACGAGAGGCTATCGAACAGCAAGTCTGAAGTCTCAGCTTTGTAACGCTTTGGAGGCCCGGATATTGACCACTGCACACGAAGTACTAATGAGGTTGTAAGGTTTACAATATCTAGCTTCATTTTGGCTTTCATCATTTCAGCCTTCACTTGGTTGAAGGTCTTCATTTTCCTCCAAATTTTCATCTTTCGTTTCATTTTCATCAATGAAGTGAACGGCTTTAAGCCTAGGGACTTATTTTCATGGGTTGGCTTCATGTTCGTTTCATTCACCGAAGATGATGAAAGTGAGGAAGATGAGGAGGTAAAGGAAGGGGGGGGGGGAGGGTGCCTTGGCGGCCAAGAACACTAACAAACGAGGGTTGAGTAGTTATTCACCTCCTTCATCTTCCTCATTATTTTCAGTGAAAATGAGGATGATGGAGGCGTTTTCCCTGGGGGGCCAGGGGCTGGGCTGGGGCTTGGCTAGCCTCTAGGGGAAAACGCCTTCATCTTCCTCATTTTTTTCAGTGAGAATGAGGATGATAAAGGCGTTTTTCTTGGGGGGCCAAGGGCTAGGCGGGGGCTTGGCTGGCCCCTAGGGGAAACCGCCTAAGTTCATCTTCCTCATTATTTTCAGGATAATGAGGATGATGAAGGCGTGTTTCCTAGGGGGCCAAGGGCTAGGTGGGGGCTTGGCTGGCCCCTATGGGAAAACGTCTTTATCTTCCTCATTCTTTTCAGTAAAAATGAGGATGATGAAGGGGTTTTCCCTGGGGGCCAAGGGCTAGGCGGGGGCTTGGCTGGCCCCTAGGGGGAAAACGCCTTCATCTTCCTCATTATTTTCAGTGAAAATGAGGATGATGAAGGCGTTTTTCCTGAGGGGGACAGAAGCAGAGTTGGGGCTGGGCTGGCCCCTATGGGAAAACGCGTTCATCTTCCTCATTCTTTTCAGTAAAAATAAGGAAGATGAAAGGCCTGAAAGGGGGTATATAGGGAAAGCTGGGCCCCGGAGTGAAGATGATGTGGGAGATATAGGGCTGAAAAGGGGGTATAGAGAAAGCTGGGCCCGGGAGTGAACATAATGTGTGAGATGAAGGGCTGAACAGGGGGTATAGGGAAAGCTGGCCCGGGAGTGGGGATAATGTGGGAGTTGAAGGGCTGAAAAGGGGGTATAGGATAAGATGGGCCCGGGAGTGAAGATAATGTGGAAGATGAAGGGCGGAAAAGGGGGTATATATAAAGGGGAAGAGAGGGGCTTGAGTCTGATGATGATGATGAAGAACTTTATATATATATAGGGGGAAAATGAGGATGAAGGTCTACATCCGTATGGAGGGGGTTCATCCTCAATGAGGGGAAAAAAAGGATGAAGTGGGAATATTGTAATTGTTACAAGCCCATTAGTACTTTCTCCCACTGCAGCCTCGGCGCTGTCTAATTTACTAGGAGAACAGTAGTACAGCCTCTCACGCGAGGCGCGGTCGATTTTGGGTCCTAGTCGCCAGCGAATGTGAGGCTACGGGCCTCGTGCGCGGCTTGTAGCCTCTGTGGACCTGGGAAGGAGAGCGCGGGAACTGGAGGTCCGGGGGTCCACTATAATCCCCACCCAGAGGGTGACCCCGCCGACCGAGACGGGGCAGAAACGCGGGGCGGTCACGTCGCCGGAGTGAGAGGGGCGGCCAAGGAAGGTCGCTGAAACCGGGGCCGAGAAGCGGGGGGGGAAGCCCCCGACACCCGGGACTGTAACCACGTCTCCCCTTACCGAGCCGCCAAAGCCAAAAAGGGTCCAGCCGCAGCCACCAGACCAGTGGCAGTAGCTGGAGGGGGCGAGAGGTTGGGGAAGGAGAAAACCCCAACCCCCGGGTCCGGGGAGAAGGTGGGGCTTAAGGAAAACCCGAAGCTCGGGTCCCCACTTTTCGAGAAGATGAGAGCCGAGTGGCTCGAGAGGACTGCGCGGAAGACGTGTGGTCGGTACAAACCACCGAGTTGAATCTATCGGAGGGTAAATGTTGATTGGTTTCTGTCGCCGTCACGCTACGGTGATGCCGTCGGTGTGACGGCCCACGCCCACTTTAATTCCGCCTCGCTTTGGGCGCAACCGTCACAACCGTTCGCTAGTTAGCCAATTAACAACACTTCTCCTTGCTAATTGCTACTACTACTATTACCCGTGTGTTCGGGCTGCACATCTTACAACATCTAGCCCTAATCACATTGCGCAACCGGCACCTTGGTCGCTATTTCCCACTTCAACATTATAAACTCCTTCAACTTCACAAGTCAATTTCAATAAAGTTACATTTGCGATTCCTCACAACAACGATGCCATATGACCTGACATGCCGTAAAACTTGACGAGCTGCGCGACCGCGGACAACGTTCCCAACCACACGTTGTCCTTCATGACCTCAGTCCTCCACCTCCTTCTTCAGCTCCTTGTCATATACCATGCGGGTGTGCCGCCAGTTCACCTCGATCTTCCCAATCGCCTTTGGAACCTGCTAATGGAAAGAATCGCGTTAAGAGTGGAGCAGCCCTTGGCACAGCCACCTCAATGGGCACAATGAACGGGTTAAGAACGTACTAGGACAGAACTCCAACACAAAGCAAAACGATCCTAGACCGAAAGAGAGTTGAAGAGGTGCGTGTACATGCACCTTGAACTTGCGGTTCAATATACGGGTGAGTACATGCAATGCCCATTCAGGCTGCGCTTTACCTCCTAGCAACACGTACCATGACACAAACAAGGTTTAACCCAAGTGGTTTAGGGCCTAGTCAGCCTCGTGCAATCGCGCCCTGAACAAGAACTTGCATCAAACAGTACCTGAACCGGGATCGACAAGAGATGCGATTGGGTAGAGAGCCCACCACTTCCTTCAACGACTTCTTTCCACGAGAGAATCTTACCTCCTCGATGAGCGCCTTCCGCTCCAGATTGACCTTGTGCGGGTTGGGCATGCTGGTCATCTTGTACCCGGTGTCCTGGGTGGCAGCCTTCACAGAGCCGTACAAGGCCCTGAGAAATGCAAGGTCCACGGCTTCGAAACAATCCATTGCAACCATCCGAGTCATATAGAAGCAACACATTCGGGCTTCAGACACAAACGTTCAGACGTGCAGCCAACAAACAATCACTGTCACGAGTACGAGCAAGCCAAATTGCTCAACGCGGGAAGCTAAATTGGGTTCTAGCACGTTTTGATGCAGTAATTGACTTGAGATTGACTTGAAAAAGCGGGCGTTGAGGCTGCAATCACCATACAAATGAGCAGAGCAAGACGGAAAGTATGAAGAAATCAATGGAAAGGTACCTACATGTACATCTTCATGTTCCCATCCCCCAGCTCAAGTCCAGTCAGCGCCAGCGCCGCCGTCATATTGACCCCCACCTCGTCCAGCGCCGCATGTCCCGCTTCTTGCCGCAGCTTCTTAAGTGTGTCCCCCCGCATCGGGTTTCGCAGCATGTCCACCGTGCAGGCACTCCCGGTCAGCTGCGAGAACGAGTCGCAACCTCCGGGTATGCCGCCAAGCGCTTGCGCTTCCTAAGCTGTGAAGGGCAAGTCGCGAGCTTCTTCACCGTTGCAGGCGCTGCCATTTTCCCGATGCAGGCAAATGCATTTTTGATCAGAAGGTGTTGTTAGACAGACCGCCATTCACTCCAGAATCAACATTCAATGCACTCAGCTCAACCCCTAGGAACAGAAAATACAAGGCATGATACTATTCAAAGCATGTGCGAATGCATGTTACAGCACAAGGCAACTGGAAAAGACGCCAGAGAAGTCCGGAAACTCTTGCTGCCAATCAACAACCAACTTATCCAACAACCGACTCAAGTCAGACTCTTTATCGAGTGGTCTTGAGCAGACTAGGGAGACAATAAGATTCAAAGATCCAGAAAAAACTTCTGGTCCCCAGTTTTTACACAAGCACAACCGGCCTTGAGAAAGAGAAGTGCAAGTCTGTCTACAAGAAAACAATGCAGAACCCAAATCCTGAAGGCTCCGAAGGCTCCTCCGGAAAAGCTTATAAACTTTGACAATGCAATCAGCACAGCCCTTGTCATGAACTGTTCCACATGTTCACTCACAAGGCCTCTTTGCTCCTCTTCTTCTCTGCTCCTCCCTTCACCGGATCCTTGTAGTCCTTCTCAAACCGATTTCTGAGCTTTCCACCATTCTGCCGAGCCTTGTCGAGCTGTTGCTCGAGCTTCTTCTTCTGCGCACGCAACCGACTTTCTACTAGCTGCAGGTCCTCTATCTCAGAAATCTTCTCCGCCAACAGAACCCCCATCTCCCTTTCCTTCGCCTCAGCGCTGTGGGCAAAACCCTCTTCCATCCCTGTACTCGGAGCTGCAATGTAATAGATCGGTAACCCACTGGGCTACGACGGCAAAAACGTGCGCAACGATACTTTCTGCCGCCGAATTACTATTTGACTAGTAATTCCGGACTGAGAGTTGTGATGTGACTAGGCCAGATGTCGTAGTAGCCTAGTACCATCACATTACCCCCAACTCAACCCCCTCAGGATTCAGGAAGAGGGACTATCACCTGAGTTGCCCTGAGGGATTCGAGCCCACGACCCTTGGGTCGAAGGAAAGCGTCATGAGATCGTCATGACGTCAGCCTCTGATACCATTGTAACAGATCAGTGACCCAATGGGCTACGGCGGCAAAACGCGCGCAACGATACTTTTTCTGCCGCCGAATTACCCTTTAACCAGTAATTCCGGACTGAGAGTTGTGATGTGACTAGGCCAGAGGTCGAAGTAGCCTAGTACCATCACATTTACTGTGAAGCTTAAGCGAAGCGCTGGCGGGATAACTACACACACATATGGCAGCCATGTGCGGAAACCATGGTTGCATGCATTTTCGGATGGAGCTGCTTGCTTTGTAAAAATGTTGTCTTTCTGCCCAAGACAGTTCTGCTTGCTTGTTGGGAATTCGCATGATCCCCGCAAGGTTTCGTGTCTTGTTCCAGTCAGTACCGTCTCAGCTAAGTCTCAAATCGTGGAGAGGCTGCTTCGAGTAGTGCCCTCGGGCGTTCTCGTAGCCGCATCCAGTCATGTCTAGGACAGCTGTGCACTTGTAGGACCGCATACTACGACCAGATAGTAGAGCGCCATGCACCGTGCCAAGCAATCCTGGTCAGGCCATAGTCTTGCAACATCATGCAGTCACATCAATGACTCGGCATACCTATCTTGCACTCTACGACTTCTTTGGTGGCGTAATTAATCAATCTAGCATTGGCTACGTCACATCAATACTGTGCTCATACGTCTCAACCCGGCGTACGCGCGCACCCAAAGGTTAACTTACTGGTGACGATGTGCGGTTAGACTTAACCATAGCCCATCTGTCACAATGCCCCGTTACCACTCCTCGGTTTATTCTACATCCCCCAAGGATAGGAAAACTTACGAGGCACAATTGGTCAGGAAGAGACAACACTACTGCTCACTTTATACAAACTACTGAACTACTCCGTAAGAGACAACCAACTCTTATACGGTGTCGTGTGGGAGCATAGTTACTACGAGTAATTAAACAGCTCTGACGCAACACTAAACAAGAAAGACGCCCCAAGCCCTTCTCGTTGTTCTTCATGTCGTTTCCAATAATCCGCCACAGCCTCGGGCGGTTCACGACATATCTTTCTGGCTCCCACGAGTTATGTTCTGGCTTCCAGGATACGAGATAAGAGG